TCAGAATTGCCGTACTTTTTGCATCATCAATCGCAGCCTCATCACTAACAAACAATCTAGTTGTATTGAAAGCGGAACTGTAATCAATACCATCTCCTCCAAAATCTTCCAATGAAACCTGCAAATATATTACAATATTTCAAACATGTTAAATTATAATCTATATAACATAATAATTTATAACTCCTAACACGATAATATCTAACGTTCAATTACTCATAATGCGACTCGCGAGTTTAAAAGAGCCGAAACAGCCAAAATTTGCGACTCGCGAGACAATGTCGCGAGTCGTGAGGACATTCGCGACTCGCGACTTTGTCTCGCGAGTCGCGAGTTCAGCCACGAGTACTCTCGCGACTCGCGAGATGAGGTCGCGAGTCGCGAGATTCTGGCACTTATGCCTCTGTCCAACTCGCGAATCGCCAGCGGAAATTCGCGAGTCGCGAGATAATGTCGCGACTCGCGAGACAAAGTCGCGAGTCGCAAGTTTGACAGAGCAAAAATATACAAAAATCATGTTGCGCGACTTCATCTCGCGAGTCGCGAGAGAATCGCGACTCGTGATTTCATCTCGCGAGTCGCGAATACACTGGCGACTCCCGAATTAATCTCGCCATTCGCCAGATGTGGGTGTTTTCCTATGCTAAACTCGCGAGTCGTGAGTTTGACAGAGCCAAAACTGTCAGATTCGGTTTTTAACTCCTAAAGCTATCTAACGTTCAATTTATAACATTATTATGTCGAACTCATAAAGTCCAATTTATAACATAATTATTTCAATTGTACAACATAATAATTTTTATTTCGTAACGCGATAATATCTAACATTCAATTTATAGATACACAAATCTAATTAATTTCTAACTCCTAACAAGATAATATCAAACGTCCAAATTATAACATAATTATTTCTATTCGATAATATAATAATTTCTAATTTCTAAAGCGATAATATCTAACGTCCAATTTATAACATAATTATTTCGACTCGATAACATAATAATTTTTAATCCCTAAAGCAATAATATCTAACACGTCCAATTTATAACATAATTATGTCGAATTTATACCAAAATAATAATAATTTCTATAACAAAATAAATTCTAATAATATTTATTTAAAAAAAAATAAAAAAATAGAGGTGTCCGGCCGGTCGGACCGGACGGACCGGCTACGTCCGGCCGTCGCCGCCGGACACCACATGGGCCGTACGGCCGGTCTGACCGGACATAGACCGGTTCGTACGACCATATAAACCGTACGTGACCCATATTGTCCGGCCGACCCGGCCGGACGCCGTAAAGGCCATCCGGTTCGACCGGTCGGACAGGCCCTGTTCCGTCCGGTTTCGTTGGCCGGACGGAAAAAAAAAAACCTCAGATGAAGAGCTCATTTTGCTGTAGGGAAAAAATGAAAAGGGCGAAATCGTAACACCCAAAAAGTACTAGGTCTAGATTACTAAATAACCAATTAAAATATAGTAATAATAAATGAATACAAAGAAAATGTGTTTTGCCTATTAAAAAAAATTGTGAACAATTAATGACTAAGCGGGTTTGCATTTGGGTCAAAAATAGACTCAAATGTGGACTTGGTCTCTTTTTTCTAGTGTCACATAAGTTAGACTAGGTCCACTTTTAATTGCATTGTGAAACATTTTTTTATAGACTAAGTTTATTTCCTACATGGCATCTAATTTTTTTTCTAAGAGACTCAAAGCATTGTGGGTGCTCTTAAAGTGAACTATTTTGGTAATCTCTCACCCCCTCTTCTCTCTCTCCAAAAATTTCCATATGCAGAAGAAAAAAATTCAGTTCTGTTAGCCCCCTTCATTTCGCGGAGACCGAATTCAGTGTGTCTTTTCTCCGGCCATGACTGGGCTGGTGACGCCGACGCCCTCCAACGACCTTCATGTTCCTTGGTTTGGGAGATGGGCAGCGGAGGTCTCTGACCACTACCTTTACAGACTGAGTTGGGTCCAATGTTGGTGGTTCTCGCTGGTGAAGCTTCTCGAGCTTCTTCTATCTCTTCGGTTTAGGGGCTTTGGGGGAGATCAGATCTGAGCTCAGTTTTGGCTCCCCGCCAGATCTTCATATTCATTCGAGTTGATCAATTTACGGTTTTAGGAGTTGTAGATCTGTTGATCTCTTTTTGTCTTTCGATTCGGAGACTGACGTGTGTGCTTAAGACAAGTAGGAGCTGTCGAAGGCCCTCTAGAAGTAGGGGAGGTTGTATTTTTTTTTCTTCTTCTTTTACATGCGTGTTGTGTTTTATTTTCATTTATGTTTTTTGTTAGTCTTGATTGTGTCCGAGTTCTAGTCTCTTTTGTTGAGACTTTGTTGTCTTTTTAGAAGTGTTTTGGTTAGAATTCTATTTAAGGGGAGTCTATCTTAGGGCTTATTATTCTCCCAGACTGCGTTTTATTTAGTTTTTGTTTATTTC